TGGTGACAGCACCACTTGCTAACTGAAAAAGAAATTACAAGGTCTTTTACCATTCAGGTTGTTTCCTGAGGAGGTCACAGAGTACAGACCCCCTGTGCAAAACTTGGTCCAAAAAGTCAGGGCCAATGTCCTGCTTATAGAGGGTTATCTCTTTAAAGGCCAGTGTCCTGATGCAGAGGTACAGGAGCAGGGACTACAGGGAAGGACCTTGTCTCTGTCCTCATGGGAGCACCAGAGGAACAGTGGGTCCACCTATTTTCCAAGGGAAAAAAGCAGAGACTACACAAGCACACATAGTAGATGACCTTCATGCTGGTGTAGTCCTGTCTGAGATTAGTGTGTTCTTACAGCTGAATATGCATTCCTTTGTCCACAAGAAGGTTTCTTAACATGTTTGTCTAATTTCCCAGATCCTAAGGTGAAATTCCTCAGATATTGCCAAACCAGTTATTTTTCCTCCAAATGAAAATCGTTTGGGTAATACAGGTTTACCTTGGCACCAAAAGACATGACTTACTTTTCCTCCAATAAACATAGAGATGCTGGAAAAAAACACCCTCAAAATGAAATAACAAGATCTCAGCACTTACACTCATTCCTGGAGCTTTATCTGTGTTAACTTATCAGTGCATTTTCTGGGTGGTAGCAGCAATGCTAGCTAAAATGTAAGCATATTTGCTAGCTTTGAAGTTTAACAGGAGCTAAATCTCTGCCTGAATTAGAATTTAAATCCACAAGCACCATAAAGGCTTAACAGTAAGTGCCAGCAGCTGTACACACTAAATCAGTCTCTCATGCCAAAAATATAACCAAATGCTACTATGCGTGGATGTAAATACTGAAATGCAGGTATGTGCATGTAAACTAGAGTAGACTGAAAACTTCTGTTTGCTTACTTAGTACTGTCTGCTTCAAGGACACTAAAATTTATGTTGTGGGGTGTTTTTTATAGGTTTTTGTTAATTTGTGTATTTTTTGTCACAGGAGAGAATGTGATGCATTTAACGGTATGGTTAAATTTTGACAACAAAACTAAAGGCTTGCTTTGTCATCAGAAACCCCAAGATGGCAATACAGTCTTGTTTTTCTTTACTGCTTATATCTATTATTATTATTATTATCATCACAATTATTATATTGCAGTACATGGAACAGATTTGTGATTTTCTCATTTGCTGACATCTAAAAGCCTTGCTCATTGCGAAGGATTATTTATACAAAAAATTGAAAGCTCCAAATACTTTGATGTTAACTGAATGAATGAATACTGTGCATGACCTGGAGCTATTAAAAGATTCCATTTAATAATGTCAACCAAATAGACATCTCTGCTGAAGTTTGGCTTCATTTTAAAGATGCACACAACATGGTTAAAAAGAATGATGCCTATACATTATTTTCAGCTTAACCTACTCCCACATATATTACCTTTTCAGGTGGCAGCCTATCTTGGTTCTCTACATCCTGATCACTTTTAAATGAATTCTCACCAGGACCCTTGTGATTTTCAGTGTTCACACAGCTCTGGCAGAGCCCAGGTACCCCGTTCTGATGCAGTTAACTTTTGCTGCAGAGATACAGCGAGCAAGTGAGAGTGAGTGTCCTTCACCTTGATGCTTGAGGAGAGAAACTGCAGATTTATCAAGTAGGCTACTCCCTGTGACTGCTGCCCCTGACTTCACAAAGTCTTAGGAAAAAAGCACAAAAGAAAAAAGCTGTGATTTCAAGTGGGTTAGCTGATGTGGTAGGCCAATGAGAGATGTATGCCCAGGGCTTTATGATGATGAAAGATTAGGTTCTCCCAGGAAAGTCACTCCCACTCCTGTCCCAGCCTTATTAAATATCAGATTTAACAGCACAGGGCTCAGGTAAAGCTGGATGGGAGTACAAACTTCAAATCAGACAGATTTTCTGTGCTCACTTTATCCATCAGTGCACTGGAAGAAATGAATTTTCAATAGCAGGTATTGTCAATGAAAAATTCTTGTAGTGTGTTAGGAAATATGTTGAGACTAATGCTGACAAGACAACCAAAGGAATAAGAATTACTTAATAGTGGGAAAATGTTACTAATGTTACTCAAAAATAGACAAATAACATTAGAACTCTCCAGGGTCATTATAGTGTTAGAAGATAATGAAGATATAGGCATTGATCTTTGATGGTCCGTCAAAATTTTATGCTTATATATGTACATATAGACCATATTTTTATGTCTATAAATTCGAAGGTGTGTAGCAAGCAGAGGGAGAGACAAAGTATGTCTGAGTATACTGCTTTAGAATAATCTAACACAGAAAGACAGCAGAAAGAACATTTATGCAAACAAGGCCAGACTGCCATCGCAACACTTTGCAGCCTCTGAGGACAGGGAGGGCAATGGCTGTATGGTATGCCAGCTGCTGGGTCCAGGACTCAGCACTTCCTGCTATAACAACTGGTTGAAATAATCTGTAAGAAAATGGATCACAAAATTAATTTTATGAAACCATAATATTTGGAGATTAAAGCCACAATTCTCTGAATAAAATCTGTTTCCTCTGGAAGACAAACAAAAGACTTATGATTAAGCACTCAGTGCAATATCCTTTTTTCTATCTTCTCTAAACCTCATTTCCACTTTAATACAAATTGTGAAGTAGTAGCATTAAAATGGGAAATCACATGGGAGGAATATACTGTATTGTTACTGAGATGCAGGGAGTGCCTGATTTTAATTTACTCTCCATTAGAAGAATGATGTTTAGAACATATCCATGCAGATTACTAAAGCTACCCTCAAATTACTGCTGGAAAACAGAATACACCTTCAGAGGAAGAAGCTCTTGTAGTGGATAATGTCCCTCCCAGAATAAATATTTTGAAACGAAGCTAACTAACCCCACAGGAAACCAGGAAGCCATAAATTAACTTTTTTTTTTTTCTTTTTTTTTTTTTTTTTAAGATTACGCTGATAAAAGCATGAAGAGAGGCTTTTCTGTGACTGACTATAAAAGTCAGAGTAAACACCTACACTATTCCTAGAGGCAAACTAATTATTTTCCCAGACTTGGCTGACCAGGTAAGAAGCGAGAGGGGAGAAGACACTGAATTACCCTGTCACATCAGGAGGGTAGCTAGCTAATCCTGCACTAACTGAGCTTCTGAACTACATCTGAAAGGGCAGGATGAGGTGAGCTTGCACTGCCAGTTGATATTCTGTATGTGTCGTGCGTTTCTGTGCAGACTCCTGGTTTCCAGCACTATATGTCTGGCAGCTTTTAAAGCAGTAAATTTATCTGAAAATTAATAAGAGCTTTTTTGCTTAAACAAGCCTTTTTATAACAGAAACTTGCCAAAACCTCCCCTGCCCAACAACCATGTCATAGTTGGTGCATGAAGCAGGCTGTTTGATTTAGCATAAACTGCTTTTTGCAGGGGGAGCGTGTAAAGAGGAAAGAGCACAAATGACTCCATTTGAGTTCAGATGCATTTCTGAGGACTTAAAAAAACAGCTGAAGGGTGAAAAAAATCTTCTGTGCAGCAAATGGGGATTTTTAGAGATTAGAGTCACAGGTTTAGGATCTAGAAAAGCATTTGTTTTGTATTATTCTGAAAAAATGTATGGATTAATTGATGAAATGGTGATGAGGGGAATTGCTTTTGATTTAATACATAAATGCAGAACTCTGGTTTGGGAGTGATGGGACAAAAGAGCCCCATTATTACCCATGGATAGCTGCCTGGGGTGCTTGAATTCAGCAGGATGGTTCAGCATTTGATGTGTGGGTAGACCTTAGGCAGTTTTTTAATGAAGTGCTGTGATAGATGCACACAGAAAACTCCAGGGTGATTTACATCCTCTGTGATACTGCAGAAGACAATAAGATTGCTTTCAGGGAGAGCGAGGAGTTTTGACTTTAGCATTGCTCATTTTATTCAACATTACTATTTCTAATACTCTGTTCAGAAATACCTGCAACTTCTAATGGTTTTACATATTTTTGAGGTAGCTCCTGACCCTCATGAACCCACAAGTGTGATCACACAGAGGACACTAATTCCCTGGCAGCTTGGATGCACGCAATATGTGAGCACTTAAATGCAAGCACTAGCAGAAATACAGAAGAAAAAGATCCATCTGGGAATCTAGTAACATGTCCTTAGCATGCCAGGTCAGCAGATGTGATCTCTAGCTTCAGAGGTTCAGAAACACTCACTCCTGGACTTCACAAACAATTTTATTTAAATTCTGAAGTGTAAATATGAATTAATTGCATTTTCCTTTCATATTGCCAATTGAAATATGGATTTTGCTAAAATTGGAGGAAAATTGGGATGCAGGAAATAAAGTTAATAGGCACATATGGGTAAAATATACCTACCACATACAAATGTGATAAAATTGATGCAAAAAAAGTGATAAAAAATTAGTATTTATTATCTTTTTCCAGGAATCCAACATCTCATAAAGGATTATTTTATGTTGTTGTGTATGCAAGGCAAAATGTATTTCGTCTGAGAAAGATTATGAGACATAAATTTTAAATCCAGAAACAGATGTTAAAAAAAAAACAAGTTGTCAAAATTCTTTTCTTCCCTTGAAACAACACAACCAGCTTGAAAAAACATGGTCACAGACCTTCTGATAAAAGCATGAAGAATAGAGGTTTTCTGTGGCTGGGAGTGTCAAAAGTGGGACCTGGTCATTTGAGGAAGTGGTCTTTCCCCCTGCCTGCAGTTTTTAAGTAATACCACATTTAAATATATCAAATTAAGTCCAGACATCAGTATTTAGCATGTATCTAAAGCTACAGTGGAAGGTCTTTCAGTCAGAATAGCTTAAAAAAATTGTGATATAAGTGAATATTTTCAATTTTATTTTAATGGAAAGTCGCATGTTAAAGTTGAAAACATCAAATGATGAATTGTCTTCTACTTGGGTGAATTTAGAAACCTCCCACTATCAATGAGGAGGGAAGAGAGACTGTCATGACATGCAAGACATTTATCAGGTTTACCTGTTTGTGAGCGTGGTCATAAGAATTGATGTGGTTGTCAAATTCCTGGTGTTTGTGGTACTGCTTGTCACACAGTTCACAGTAGAAGTTAGCCTTCACATCCTCCAGGGCCTTAGCTGCAGCTTTCTCCTTCTCAGCGTAGTCCTGCAAAGGCAGAAGCAAAGGGAGGCTCTTCATCTGAGACCCTGAACTCCTGTTCAGCAGCTCTTTTCATCAGGCACATTGCAAGCCCTGCACAGCTGGAACGCCAGACTCCATCCCAAACGTGCTAAGCAGGTTTTGATCCTAAGTGGGATTCAATAAAAGGGTTGTGTATCTTGGGGAATTGCTCTTACTACTCATTGTAAGTTCTGCCATAAAGAGAGAGGAATGGGGTGCAGAGGATCCATCAGGATACTGCCTAGCCCCTGGGCAGGAAAGCTGAGCAGTGAAGAACAAGTAAGCTCCCAGTGTCAGCCTGTTAACTCAGCCCCAGATTGCCCCAACATCTATTCTTTCAGGTACTATTGCTCACAAGAAATAAACTGGTTTAATCTGATATTATGGCAGATTCTCTTTTGTATTCTGTTTTCAGACTTCTATGAAATATTCACTGAGGCCAGGCAGCAGATTGCTATGGCTGGCTGAGATTTCCCTGGAGCAGAGCCATCTCTGCAAGAGCCTTTTCTGTTCTTCCCTGTCCTTCCCAACATCTGCATGAAGGGACACACCATCCAGCCTGACCAAATTGAAAGTAACTCTCACCTGCCTGACACAGGCCACAACCACTAGGAGAGCGCTAGCTCATGTCCAGGCTCATGCAAACACAGCTGCAAACAGGGAAAACACAGTTCCTACATAGTTCCCTTCCATATCTCCCCAGTGACACAAGTGAGTGCTATGGAGAGTCAAGGACGTCAATTCAACACACAATATTAGGTAAAAAGAGAAAATTTCATACATAAGAGCTAAAAGTTATTGCACTCAAATTAACGCACTTAAATAAAGGCTCTGATATGCAAAATTGGCAGCAGCCTTTGTCAATCTTATTTCTTTTAAAAGTCCTTCATTATACTGTTGTTGTTATTTTTATGATACTTCCTCAAACATTTTGCATTAAAATGCAAACTTCTGATACGGAAAACAAGAACAAAAAAAAGTTGGTAGAAGCTATTAATTTTGTATTCATATTGACAAGCTGATATTTCTTGAGTGCATGTAATATATTGCCAGGGATTGCAGTAATTCATCATTTGCTCTACCGTTTTACTCTCCTAAAGAAATGAGCACTTTCTGCTGCCAGGCTTTCCATGCTCTGCAGTCAGTGTTGTCTGCTGTCCACATGCTTTCACCACTCTTCACGTGACAAACTCAGAGTGCATGAATGCCAGGACATGCTGCACATCTGGGACAGCCTGCTCTTAGCACATCACACTGCCCAGCACAGCTCCAGGGAGCAGAGCGGGCTGGAGGCTGGTGTTTGGGTATGGCAGATTAATATGAATGCACATTTTGAGCCCTTCAGAGAGGGAGGGACTTTCTTAAAGAGTGAGACGATTCACATCTGAGACTTGGCCAAGCAACTGATGCTGGCTGTTAGTGTGACTCACTGAACTTTGCACAGCTCTGTGCTGTGAGCCCTTCTGTTTTGCCTCTTTTTCTCTTTACACCCTCAGATGGTGTGGTCTTTTTTACACCATAGTTTTAGAGGTTACCTTTGCTGGTGAGATTAACTTCATCTAAACTTGGCTGTCTAGAAGTTAGGTGTATGGGTAAGACAGAATCCTAAGCTTCTTCTGTAAGAAAGAGAAAAATGCTAGACACTGCCAAATGGTTATTAATCCCATCTATTTCAAAAACCCATTTTAGGATGAGATTAAATTCTCCAGAGGTTCTATCTCTCTCCGACCACTGCAAGGCTCTAAATTACTAACCTGGCCTACATCCTTAATTCTTGGACTGCTGAATTCAAAGATAATAAATTCTATATTGTATTTCTTTAGATTCAATTCTAAATCTCCCCATGAATCTTACATGAACTGACCTAATTAAGACAGGAGGTCAAAGGGGAACGCTGTGCCCAGAATTTTGATTTTACATCTTACTGATGATATCAATGTCATACCAGTTCCTCCCAGAGGGGAAACTTGCAAATAAATCTCTTTCCTGCAAGCATATAGCTCAGGTGGGTCAATATACTATAGTACACTAAGAAAAAAACTAACCTGAGCTAACATTTCTCCACTTGAGAAGCTGCTCAATTATGGTAGTTAATCCTTGATTGTATCAGGGAGAAATATACTCACAATCAAATAGTTAAATAGCTTTCATTAGTTATTTAAATTTACAGAGCCCATTAAAAAGTGATACTTTTCAGCTTATGCTTTCAAGCCCATTGTTTTGCTAGCATTAATTATTCACCAGGCCTTTGATATAATTAAAATGCATAAATTAGAATGTGGATGCAATAGTATTAATTATGCAGAGATGTGTTCCCTGAAAAATCAAGTGTTGGAGGTAACACATTTTTATTCTAAACTGGTAAAAATGTAAGTTTTGCACTTGCTGGAAGCCAGCCAAAGCATAATTGTTTTGAGGGAGGGGTTGTGGGTTGGGGTTTTTTGGTGTTTTTTGGTTGATCTGGGTTTGTTGTTGTTGTTTTGGGGTTTTTTTGGGTTTTTTTTTCTTCGTCTGAACTGTCAATTAAATGTTTACAGCCTGCTCCATCTTTCCTTCTGCTGAAGGAGAAGCTTAACTGTTTGGGGTGAACGCACCACATCACTGTCTGTAAAGCACAGCTGAAACTGCTGCTCATGAGCATTCCAAACTGCCAACTTTATCTTTCTCAGCAGAAATTAATACAGTTCCCTGCACATAAAGATGTTTTAAAATAGCAACAAGGCAGCTCCCAGGTGCATCCTAAGATAATCACAACTACCTCCATTGCCTTATTGCTTAATTATGCTTGTCTACCATGGCAGAAGATACAACTTCCTCCTTGCTTATCGATCAGATGCAGGGAAATTGAATGCCACATCACATACTTTAGAAAGGTCATGGATTTTTTCTTTCTCTACAAAGACAAAAGAACTTCTAGCACTACTGTAAATTGTTCATAGTCAAATGGATTTTCACATTCAGACTTCTAATATCATGTCACTAGGATTGTACAGACTGATGGTAAATTCTGGCTTGGTAAATGTGATCACGTGAAAGAAAATCTGTGGGACTGCACCTGTAGAGAGCATACATGATCATGAAGGCCTGATCACACAAATTCAGACACAGGTAGGCAGCCAAGATGCACCAACACATTTTGAACTCTGAATCTTCAATGGTAAGGAATATATGTGTCACAGTCTCATAAACTTTATTCTGGATCATACCCTCCTTAGTAATGGCACACAGCCTAGGTAGACATGTGTGTACTTATAAGACAATATAAGTTAGCAGCTCTGTCTTTGAGTCATGGACAGCAGTGGTGCAAGCTTATGTCAGGGGTGATGCCATCCTTGTAGGTGAGAACTCCTAGAAATGATGGATTAACCAGCTTCTGTGGTGCTGGATGCAGACAGTGAAGAGCATAAGGACAAACAAGTGCAGAATATGTCTCTAAATGCATTTTTTCTAGAAGCCTGCAAAATGGCTCCATATTATAGATTTTAATTGCATTTACATAAATTTTACCTACAGAGGCACATAACTGTAATAATTGTTTATATATTGGATTAATTAAAAAAAAATACTTCATTTGCATGTTAGGCTAGAAGTGCTTTCACTTAGCACCTACTTTTGCACTATGCTTCCTATTGTGAAAATGCAATTAATGGTAGCTGACATTTCATTTTCTAATATGGGGAAAATCAATGAAAAATCCCATGTAACTGAGTTTTCTTGAATGTTGCCACTGACATCTAGTCAATTAGAAATAATTTATAAAATCTAGAGTCTGTAATAGATATTTAATAGACTGTATGGCTGTTAAAGGATGCTGATCTAGACAAAACAATACCACATTTCTTGTCTCAGTACCTGATAGTAAATATATCTGCTATGTTCAAATGGACTAAGGTGAAAAGTAGGTCACTTGATAACAATAAATCTTGAGGAGGCAATTTGCTGCAAACCCATGGATTTCTATAAATATAGTAGAGTAAATGTGTGGTGCTTGTAATAGCATATGAGAAAAATATAGCATCATTAGCCCACTTTTGATTACCTATTTCTACATTGGAATGTAAAATTAGTGACAGAGCAGCTAACTCACATTAATGCAGAGCTCAGTAAGTGACAGACTTCTTCCTCTTTGGGGACATAAGCAATCAGTTTGGTAACTTAAATATAATTTTGTGAACCAGATTAGATGTGAATGCAAGTTTTAAATACTTCTGCAACTACAGAGGTGCCTCTTGGGGATTCTCAGGCTAGAGGGCAAAGGAGAAATAGTATGCATATAAGCACATGAATTAGCTAGAGATTAGAGACTACATCTAAGACTTTTAAACATATTTTCACTAGTGATTTAGATGACAAAATTAATTGTGACTATCTATGAAATCTATGAATGATACTAATTAATAGCATAGGGCATATAAATGCTTTAGGGACCAGGATCAAGATTCAAAATTACTGTAATAATCTTCAGATATGATCTTAAATCATCAAGATAAAATTCAGTAAGATGTTTGTCAAATGCTGCACTTTGGAGGAGGAAATCACATTCATCAATACTAGATTAGGAATTGCTGCACAAAAAAATGCAAAGGCAAGAAAAAAGGTCCAAGAGTTAGAGTGGAAAAGAAACCAAATGAAAGTCAACAATGAAAGTCAAGGCAAATCACATTCTGACATGTTAATAGTGATAAGTAAGATGCTGAGGGTAATTATTCCACTTGACTCAGTATTGGTGAAATGTCAGCTGTAAAATACTATTTGGTACATCTACACTAGCAAATAACTTGGCTTCTGGAATCTGACCCTCTATTATTCCCACTCCATGTGTAATAGTTAATTTCCAGGCTTTTTGATTTCAGATTTCCCTTTGAGATAAAAACTATTGCAGTTCCAGAGTGACATTTGGCACAGAGACCACACTCTACAGGCAGCAAGGATGAGAAACCATAAACCTCTCCATGCCCTCTATAGCTTCATGAAAACCCAAAAGA